GTTTTCATCTAGCAGCTGTTGGATCTAGCTTCCATGGTGTCTTGTCATTTTTAGAGTATTATTGAGTTTATGATCTATATCCACCTTGTCTTCTATTTCTGACACACTGTCATCACATTGGTCAAGCTGGTACCTATCATTTCCATTAATTTTTTTTTCATATCATCTATCTCTGCTTGCTTCCTTTTCAGACTTTCCAATTCTTTTCTGAAGTGGTCATTCATGTCCTGAATTGTCCTGCTTAACGCAGTTTACTGTTTATTGTTTCTTTAAGCCTATTGGACATTTTATTGGTAAAATCTTTTATCTATTCAATTAAATCCTCTTTGAGCTCATTAGACATCTTATGCATTTGTTTATATGTTTTTTTATTTTATCTTTTCAAACATTTTGACCATTTGGATTTTTGCGTTATTTGGCTACCCTTGTTCTACTTCATTGTCTGTGAAATCAGCTTTTGGGGAGTTAGGGATTTTGGGAGGGGGGATCTTGTTGCCATACTTTCTATTGTTTCTATTGTTTCTGTGCTGCTGGTTGAAGATTGGTTAGGGTAGAGAAACTTTGTTACTACTGTGGAGATCTCTTTACTTAGGTTCTGTCTTCTTGTGGTATATCCTTGGGTTTGGATATGTTTTGGTGTTTATACCCCTCTTCAATCTACTCAACATAATATTTGAGGGTCTTTTTAGTGTCTGGCCTTCTTCTGGGGCCTTAATCCCCAGGACCACTCAGAAGGGAGAAAATGAACTGCAGTAATGTTGACAATACAAAGACAAACAAGATATTGGCATACATTAAAAACCAATTTAAAATAGCTACTATGCTATCATCAGTAATAAAAAAAAATAAGCAATGATAATAGGGTCAAAGACTAAGTGGTTGTTGGCATATTGTAAGAATCAATAATAGGTAAAATTTTACCATCTTTAATAGGAAGGAAATATGCAATAATAATGTAGGCTCTAATATAAACTAAATACATACAGTCATTATCTACTAAAGCAAAAACTATATCACTATTAACAATAGAAAAGAATTCAGCAATAATAAGTCAATTAAATAGCTAAAAATTAATAGAGGTTAATGATAATAATAATGGAGGAGTAGAAGAAGGGGATAATGAAAGAAGTAAAATTTGAAAAAGTAAAGATGAGGTGAGGAAAGAGAAAAAAATCTGATTAAAATAGTAAAGACAGTTCATAGAATTTAAAACTAACAAAAAAATAAAAGAAAAAGAATAAAAATAAAGAGCAAAAAGTAGAAAAAAAGAAACAAAAAGAGAAATGGGTCCAAAAAAATCCCTCTGTATTTATATATGAGTGAGTGGTTTTTTCCAAAGCCTGTAGTATTGCAAACCACCAGATATGAGTGAGGAAATAGTGAGTCACAAGTTAGGGCTATTTTATTTTCATAACTAATTTCTGCTGTGTGAGTGCTGAATCTTGCTCTGTCTTTTCCTGTTGAGTGAGGTCAGTCAATGGTGTGGTGTCTGCTTAGGGTTATATTCACTCCAGGGACTCTTAGTGTTTGTGTTCTGTGTGTCCCAAATCACGTGATCTCTGACTAGCTTTACAGTCTGTGGGCTCCTGGGATGCCCTTCTTGTTCTAAGGATCTTTCTTTCTGTACACCCTTGGATGTGGCAACTGTCCCTGCTGAGGTATATTCTTGATCATGTTGGCAGATGGGAAAAGCAAAAAAGACCACTGAGCTCTAATGGGAGTAGGCAGCAGTGGGAGGGGCAACCAGTCTGCTGGACTTAATGTCAGCATTTTCAGACCCAGGCCCCTCAGGAAACTACATAATTGAATTGGCCTAGGTGGGACTGCTCTGTCCTTCACAACCTGAGCGTGCTACTACTTAAACTTCTCAGGGGATCTGTGACTGACATACTCCTCTATGACTGTCTCTTGTGGGTGCCTCCCACGCAGTTATTGTGGTAGGGTGACTCCAGAGACTCAGAAGTGAAATTGTGCTGTGACTTCTGATACTGGAGTAGCTCAGTCTCAAACAATAAACTCTTTCCCCAAATGGTTTCTGATTATATTACTCCAACGTATGGTAGACACTGCAGTGAATTTTTTCTCCAACTCTAGCCTTCCATGTGGTAGGAGTCACTTTCAGAGTAAAAAAACACACTATATTTGCACCTCACAATACCATAGGATTTTCTTGGAGCTAGAATTTCTGGTCCATTATTTCTCTCTGGTGCTGCTCTTTGTGGGCTTACCAGAACAGTGATAGGACCCCTCCCCTGGAGCCGAGGTTAGTGCTCCAGACTACTAAGTTCTTTTCTCTGCATTGTCTTCACTTTCTCTGTATGTAGTTTCAAGTTTTCCTGTTGGCTCATTCTTTATTTCTAGAACTGTACTTTTTTGTTGTTGTTGTTTTCCAGGTGTCTCTAGTCCAGGTACTGGAGAGGCTGTATTTTGCTGTGGTCTTTATTTGACCATTTTTAATGTTGAACAAAAGTTTAGAAGTAACCTCTTTTTTTTTTTTTGGGTACCAGGGATCAAACTCGGGACCTTGCGCTTGCGAGGCAGGCTCCAGAACCACTGAGCTAAATCTCCGGCCCTGAAGTAACCAATTTTTGCCGGTAATGTTAGGCAGCATATTTGTTAGGCTCAACAGGCTTGAGCTCCTTCTAACCACTGTTAACCAGCTAAGATACTAGCTGAAGGAGAATTCTTAAATTTGTGATGTTGATACTTTTTAATGCTTATCCATTTTTTGTACTTTAAAAACATGCTACATTTAATCGCTCCTTAGCAACATTTATTCTATCTCATTTCAGAAATTGGAAAGGCATCACAATTCTGTATTCCTGATATTGAATGATGAGTAGATTCAAGAGATTTTTGTTTTTATTTTATTTGTTTATTTATTTATTTTTTGGTATCGGGGATCGAACTCGGGACCTTGAGCTTTCAAGGCAGGCGGTGGAAACACTGAGCTAAATCCCGGCCCTAGATTTTTGTTTTTAACATCTTCCATATGTTGGAATTATAATTGCTTCACAATGTGTTCATCAGAAGTATGCTGCAAACAAAGTGCCTAAAAAGGACAAATCCTGAATACGTTGTCTATGCTAAGAAGCTTCTAGCTTAATTAAACTAACCTTGTTAAATTGTCAGAAAGACAAATGGGGGCATATTTTTCAGGTTGTCATAAATTCTTCTAGAAGCAAATTACCCCACGGGAAGATCTTTGTGCCCATGTATAACATTTATAGGTCTCAAAGCTTTTCATACACTGATGTTCTTTTAAGGTGAGGAAAGGCATGCCGTGGGAAACAGAATAGCTGTTACATACAGTTAAAAAGTTTGGCAGAGCTAGAAATTGCCTGGTTTTCTTTCTACTGCAATTTTCTGAATGTCCCTTGATACCTACCTCTTAGGCTGGCTACAGTTATATACAGGCAAATAACCTTGATTTTCATTTCAGTTATACAGCTATGTATATCCTTTAGCCATTCATTCTCCACTCATCCCACCTAGTGGATTTGTAATGTAGTGTGTATCACTTCAGTAGCAATGTTTTTTAGAAGTATACAAAAAATTTGGTGTGGGGAGGGTAATGTTTTTTCAACTTTCTGCCATCTTTCCAACATACTAGCAACCTTAGTGTATTTTTCCATTTCCTTACTGACAGATGTGTCAATAGAACAGTTTGGTTGATCAGTTCAGCACCTTATAGGGTTTACTTGATGTAGGCTATAATATGACTCACATTTTTTGTACTTACATTCAGTCCCTATTCATTGTCAAAGCTACAAATTGGTGTGCCTTATATCTGCATTCATTCAGCTGTGTGCTTTCAGAACACAGTCATTTGCATATAGTAGATTTAGTATAACTCTAACACTTATGATGATATTTTCAGTCTTCTGGATGTTCTCAAGATAGGAAGAACGATGTTGCAGAGAATTTTTTGTTTTGTCCCAGTAACTGCTCTTTTGCTCTAACCTGAACATGGCAATACAAAGTACTTTGAGTAAGTGTGAACCAACTGGGTAATCTTGGAGTACTTATTCATAAATAACCACCCTATTGTGAAGTGACTTTAAATCATATTTTGTATAGTGTTTTACAATCACTCTATCCTTCTGAATAATTTCCCCATTTTACATATGAGGAAGCTGGCCTAGGCCAGTTAAAGAAACTTAACTGAAACCACAGTTCAACTTTAAATCCAAATTACCTGCAAACCTCTGCTTTGCCATATTGTCAGTAACTCAGAACTGAGATTCAAATCCAAGCAATGGAGACCCCCAAATCCACAATTTTTCTTTTAAAAATTTGGCTCCTTGTGATATAAGAAGACCTCCCTTTCATTACTCAATTGATTCAGTGATATGTGGTTCAAAATTCAAAGGACACAGAAATAAAATACACAATGAATTTTTTCCTGTCCTTGACCTTCAGCCATCTAGTTCCCTGCTTGGAGACATTGACTGCTATTTTTAAAATTTTATGTTTTCCAAGACATATTTTGTAATTTTAACCACTATATTATACCTCTCTTTTGATTCGCTACAATTATCTATAAAACATTCAAAGGCCTGAATACATACTTATTTCTGACTTTGACTTGAGTGAACTCAGAAGTCTCTATCATAGGTAGAAGAGAAGCACTAGTATAAGCAATATGTATCGTTGAGACTATAATACAGAGGATGGATTAGAGACTTTACTGGAAACAGCAGACTGGCCCTATAAACCCTTGAAAGAGAAACTTGATAATAACAAATTTGAGAGAAATTAAAGAGCTAGGGTTTAATCATACTGGATGAGAGTCAAGAAGTCAAAGGTGACTCCTGGATTGATGAGATGGTCATTTTGGGTGTTAATCTTTAATTTAAAAGAGAAGGTAAAGAGAAACTTAAACAATCTACAATATACCCGTCATTCCATATCTTCTCTTTCCGTTTGCATATACTATGTGTGCTACTACAATTCCCAGAGTTCCACGCTTCATCAAAATCCCCGTAGACTCTGCTGCGCAGAATTCTGGGACTTGCGGTCCGGGGCCTGTTTACTCAAGTTAGAAATAGAGGCCTGTGGAAACATGAAGAGGTAAGGCCTTGTCTGAGTTGCCCGAGAGAAGAAGAGTTCTTTTACTTTGAAAATGGCTTTTATGACTTTCTGTTAGGACTATGTCACGTTCTTGTGAGGCGGTTTCGTGTGAGCGGGAAGACAAAGGAGAAGGGAGGAGGGAATATGGGCTAGATAGGCCCGCGGGGCCAAGTTCTAGAAGGCCCGCGACCGAGCGATTTCGATAAGAATGGCCTCCAGGCACAGGCCCCAGGAACTTACTGGGTGCTGGGGCTTCTTCTCGGGTCAGAAGGATCTAAAAGGTGTTGGCTCACAAATTTTTGGAGCCAGAATACCCAGGGCAGCTCCTCCCTGGCCTGCCTGAGCGCCTCATCCTCAGCTAAGGGCTCAGGGTGAGTGCATTTATTTGCATTGTCTGTGTACTAAAATTTTCAGGGGCCACAAAACCAGGTAGTGCTTTCAAATCTAAAAGTAAGAAACTGATATTTTGTTTCTACAGATTTAGAAGGAAAGCACAAAAACGACTTGTATTAAAGTAAAGGAAAGGCATTGCTTGGAGCAGTTCCCCCTACTGGTTCTGCAGTAAATAGCCGCTTGAACCTACATGGTCCTTGTTGAGAGCCAGTCTAAAAATTACCAGCAGAACAGAAAGCCTTTTAAGGATCCTCATTAAATTAGTTTTGTATTCACTCTGCAAGAGAATCACCATTCTGGAATAGTGCAGTGTATTTAAAATACCGATATTTTCGTTTGCGCTTTCAGTTCCTTGCATCTTTTAAAAACCGTTTCTAATTTTTGTGCCTGAGGAGAACCTTTAAAATTTTTAACGATGTATTTTGTATGTGCAAAATAATGTATATAATGTATGTATAGTTCAAAAATAATCATAAAGGCTTGTATGCACTACAATCTTAAGAAATGGGACGTTGTAGTACCTTGGAAGTCCTTTGTGTCTCCTCACTGATTACTTCTCCCTCTCCCTTTTCTTCTCCCATGAAATGACCACTTTACAGAATTTTGCATTATTCCTTGCTTTTTTCTTTTAAAATATTTTTTCAACATACCAATTTATCCCAGAACAAAATGTTCCTACTTTTACCCATTTTCAACTTTAAACAAGTGGACACATAATTGTATGAATTGTTCTGACTTACTTTTTTTTAAACTCAACATTTCTTTTTGAGATTCACATGTGTTGATGTATTTGGCTATGGGATATTCACTGAAAAAAACTTTACTCTTAGGAAGAATTTCTGGAATTTTAAAATAAAATAAAAAATGAGATATTTAAAAGGATGTAAAGAAAATGTAGAATTCCCCCAAATAGGAACAAGTCTTTCTAGAGCATGTGAATTCTGCTTATATTTATAAAGGGGTTTTCTTAGACCTTATCACAATCCCACTGGTTAAGCACTATTTTATAAGGAAGGTATTTAATATTCCCTCATGGAGTTAGCTCGTTTATTTTGTGTTTGCTTTTTATAATCTATGATTGCATGTGTAAATGGTCCTGTTATTTCTTCATACTCTAATAAGAATTTTCCATTATTTTAGCTGGTTAACACTAACCATTACCTATATTTCTACACAGTGGTGGCTAGGCTATAAAATGTTATGACTCTCTTCTTATTTCTTTCTATATGCTCCGTTTTAGATATCTCCTCCTCTCTCATAGCTCTAGATCTTGACTCCACAATGCGTTGAGATTTCCATGTCTCAGTCTCAGAGTCTTTTCATTATAACAGTTCTCTGATCTGTCACTTTCATTTTAGTCAATCACTTCTTGTTGCCTCAGACTCGGTGTCTTGGAAGTATTCCTGATACTTCATGCTGGTATTTCAATCAAAATAGGTAGTTGACTTAAAGTGGCTATAACGATACTGATTTTCCCTTTCCTAAACAATTTATTCCAGTTTCTTCTTTCCTTCAGTGGTTACATCATTCTCTTGTTACACAGTTTGAAATTTGAGTGTTATCTTTGACTTCCTTACCTCTTCGTCCTTCAAAAACTTTTTCTTTTCTAACCCTTTCTATTTCCACTATTGTCACTCCAGTCTTGACCTTTAATCATCTTATACTTAAATAGTTTCATAACTGATTCTTCTAGTTTCTTCTTTTCTAATCCATATGGTACATTATAAACATATTTATCTTCCTAAACCATCACTTAGCACTTATGTCACCAAATTGCCTGTTAAGTTATTTTCTTTTTTTTTTTTTGGACCGGGGATCGAGCTCGGGACCTTGCTCTTGCAAGGCAGGCACCGGAACCACTGAGCTAAATCCCCGGCCCTCAGTGTTAAGTTATTTTCTAATACCTGTATGTTTTAAGTCCAGGCTCCTTAGTGTATTTAGAGCCATTGACAGTCTGAATCTAAACAGAACTTCCCATTCTCACCCAGTATGTATTTTTGTCTCTTCAAAAATAATTTCCCCATTTTCCTTTTCTTTGTCATACCCAATTCTTCAATGCCAGTTTAAGAATACCTTTCTAATCTCAGCACTCTGGTAGACTGAGGGAGAAGGATTGTAAGTTCAAGCCCAGCCTGGGCAACTTATTGGTGTAGCAAGACCCTGTCTCTAAAATAAATTTTAAAAATGGCTGGGGATATAGCTCAGTGCAGAAGACCTAATAGGTTCAATCTCTAGTACCACCAAAAAAAAAATCCCTTCTGTGAGCTCTTACTAATTTGGCATAAACTTTTCTATCATTATTTATTCACATTCTCTCTCCCCCAAGCACATGCACCCAACACAAATACATTTTTTCTCCGTACATAGATTACAAGTTTCTTGAGGATGGAAATTGTCTTCAATGTGTGGAACTTCCATCAGTACCTAACATAATGCCTTTTATGAAAGTAGGTACTGAGAAAGTGTGAAATGAATGATAAGGGGAAATGGATTATTAAAGAAATGTCTTTGAATAAACATCATTAACGATGGTAATATAGATAAGGAATATGTTTTCAGACTCTTTGGGTCTTTTCCTGTATCCACTACTTTTTGTCTTTTCCTATGTCCACTCTAGGGTTAACAGCTGTGTGAAGAATGATGAGCATGTCCTGGAGGAGCTGGAAACAGAAGGGGAGAGGCAGCTGAAAAGCCTCCTTCAGCATCAACTTGATACTTCTGTCTCCATTGAGGAGTAGGTATTGATTTTTAAACAGGTAGAATATCATAGAGTCATAGACCCTCAATTCTGGGTGATAGACCCCTCTTAAAACCTGAAGAGAATACTCCTTTGTCATTTTTCTACTTTCTTTGGCAGACCTCTATGTGTTAGTCGAGGTTTTGCTTCTGTGTTTCTTTCTCTAAGAAGCTTTCAGTGTCCCACTAAGTCTGGACCAAGTACCTTTCCTAAGCCTTTCTTTAGTGCCCTGTTTTCCCCCAACATAACAGTTATAACTCAATATTGTCATTACCAATTTGCCTCTCTTCTGTTCTTTCATGAAAGTATGAAATATATGTGTATGCGTGTGTGTATGTATAAATTCCTCAATATATAGAACACTATCTTCTGCATAGTGGATATTTAATAAATATTTGTTGATTTAGCCATTTGTTGGTCCTGGATGAAGGGACATTGATCGAGTTCCATTTTGTTGCAGTGATGCTTCAGCCTAGAAATAGAATTTGAGAGCAAAATTGCAAATTAGTTTTATTGTGCCTCTTATAATGGTAAAGTCCTATTCCTCTGAACTGTGGTAACCTCAAGATGTTCTTACTCCCATCTTGCTTGTTTTATAGATGTATCTCTAAGAAAGAAAGTTTTGCCCCTGGTACTATGTACAAGCCCTTTGGGAAGGAAGCAGCTGGGAGTATGACTTTGTCCCAGTTCCAGACTCTACATGAAAAGGACCAGGAGACTGCTTCTCTCAGGGAACTAGGGCTCAGTGAAACAGAAATCATGATCTGGAAGAGCCATGTTTCAGGTGAAAAGGTAAGTGGGGCAGTGTTGTTGTTTTCTTTTTCCTCTGGAGAATAAAGAACAGGATCTCTTTATTTTGGCATTGAGAACCTTTTAATTTTTAGTTCTCATAAAACTGAGTTCTGGGTGTGAATCTTCTTTGGTTTTGTAGGATAGGGACATTGGTAAAAGATAAGCTGTTAACTTCCTAACTAACACTTTCCATAAACACTTTCAATTTCTGGGTCCTACTCATCTTTCTTACCTGAGGCATCAGATCATCACTTTCAGCATGTGTCCTCTGTGATATACGCTATCTTATTTCCCTGATTGCAGAGGACAAAGCTGAGGGCAACTCCTGAAGCAATACAGAATCGTCTTCAAGATATTGAAGAAAGGATCTCAGAGCGTCAGCGCATCCTTTGCTTGCCACAGAGATTTTCAAAGAGCAAACAGCTGACCCGGCGAGAAATGGAAATAGAAAAGTCTTTATTTCAGGGAGCTGATCGTCATTCCTTCCTTAAGGCTCTTTATTACCAAGGTATGTGATCCTCACTGACTTTAATGTGTTCTTTCACTGAGATAAAGACTTAACATCAGAGCATTAGATATGAAGAATTAACGAAGGGAGTAGGGGAAAGATAATCTGTTACTTCTCTTGAGGAATGTATAGTCCCATGAGAGAAAAAAGTATATGCATAGTTAATTGCATGACAACATGGAAATTGTTATTATAATGATATGAATCAAATGCAGAGGGAACATAGAACATAGAGCATCTAAGTCTAGTTGGGGGAGTCAGAAGTTGACATTTATACTGTAATAGATCACCAGGCATTTGCTAGATGAAGGGGAAAGGGTATTACAGATAGTGAGTGAATAGGAACAGGACTGTGAAAGGACCTGGTGTCTCTAGGGAACAGCGAGAGGTTATATGTGATACAGCTACAGCATATGGCAGGGGATAACAGGTGATGATGACATAGGAAAGGGAGGTGATACCAGATTGTAAAGGGTTTTTACACTGAACTATATAATAGCACAAAATATGTGCATAAATAGTATGTGTCTTAATCAGAAACAATTAAACACTTCAGTTTTATTAGGTACTGTGGAGGGTGCATAGAAGTTTAAGAAATGATTCCTGACCTTGTGCCAAGTACAGTCTAGTTAGAGATACAAATATATAATATTTAATAACAATGCTAGATATCATTGCTAAATGCTATGGGAATTTAGGGTCTTATTGGTGTGACTGAAGAAGGCCTCTCAGAGGAGGTAAGATTTAAATATTCTTTTAATACTGCCTATTTAGAAAGGAGAGGGAAAGGCATTTCAGTTGAAATTGTTGGTATGAGTACTACTTACTGGGCAAGTTGTAAGAGACAATGTTGAAAATGTAGCTAAGAATTTTGGATTTATTTGGTTGGTAGTATATGGCTATGCACAGGTACTTTTTCAGTTAGTTTGAATAAAGTTAGAAATTTTTGAGCCAGGAGTAACATGATAAAAGCCATATTTGAAAATGATTAATGTAGTTACCAAGAAATAGAATTAGAGAGGAAGAACTGGATGCAGAGAGAATGATCAGAAAGTTTTATCGTCATTTAAACATGAAGATCTATACTATACTGATGACAGTGGAATTGAAAAGAGGTAGGTTTAGTTATTAGAGACATTACAAAAGAAGAATTGATAAAACTTGTTGACTAAGAATGAAAGGAAGGTCAATGAAGAAGAGTATGTCACAGATAACCCAGATGTTTCAAAGCTGTGTGAAGTAACAATTGACAAAATTAAGAAAGCTTTTATGTGAAAATTTTGAAGGAGGTTCATAAATTTGATTTTAAACATGTTGAGTTTTCGAGAATGGCAGGATCATCACATGCAGATATTGAGGATGCAGTTAGAAATAAAGCATTGAAGTTCAGGAGACAGGTCAAATCTAGGTATATAGAACCGGGAATCATCTCTGCTTAGAATTAGATGATATGTTAAAGTCATGAGAATGATTTGTTAGAGACAACTTACACATGGCAGAGCAGTAGTAAAGGAGGAATGAATGAACAAATGAACAGCCTTTTGTGGAGAGACATTATAGCATACTGATTTTAAATATGGGCTCTGGAGACAAACTGCTTGAGAAAATCCTGGCTCCCCCACTTACTAGCTATTAGATGCTGAGCAAATTACCTCTCTATGCTTTAATTTCTTCATTTATAAAGTTAGAATATTAATAGTAGATACATTATAGGGTTATTAGGATTAAATGAGGTAATACATGTAAATCACTTAGAGCAGTACCTGGTGTTGGGGTGAGGGGTGGGGGGTGTGAATCTGTTCTGTTTCCTATCTTTGAAATTCCTTGCTTTAAACCTTCACAGCATACCACAAAAAGACAAGTGCAGACAAGTACATGACCTCAATGAAGAGGAAGATAAAATTAGGCACAAAAGGCAAGTCGAGAGTTTTCTTACAGTGTTAGATTTAGGAATGTAAACTAGGGTCCCAAGACTTCTAAGTGAAACATTTACTTAATTCCATATTCAGTAAATGATAATGTTTATAGGAAATGATCTAGATAGAACATATTATCCTGATATAAAATATTAAATAGAGGAGTTAGTAGAAGTTGTAAAGCTCTTATATTTAGTGCTGTTTTTCTCTTCTATACTTGTAAGTTACTGTATCAGACATCAATTGACCTTGCTGATTTTTAGATCCCATTTCACAAATAATTATGAATATTTTATTAGTCAGTAAGGTATAAATATTGATGATAATGATAATGATGATAGTGATAATATAATAGCTAATATTTTATTTTTCAAAATGAACTTACAGTAAAATTGCATGGGGCTTATTTTGGGTGTACAATTCTATGAACTGTAAATCATACAAATTCATGTAACTACCATCACAAGAGAGAACAGCTCCATCACCCTGAAAAGCTCCCTCATACTACTATCCCTTTATAGTCATTCCCAACTACTGCCCATAATTCCTGGAAATCACTGACCAGTTCTTCATCACTATAAATTTCTCTTGAAGAGACTGTCATATAAATGGAATCATACAATGTGTAATTTTATGAGACTGGCTTCTTTCATTCAGCATAATCCCTTTGAGGCTTATCCAAATTTTGTGCATCAATAGTTCATTCATTTTGCAGAATAGATCATACAATTCGTTGTATGGATGTTTCAAAGTTTGTTTGTCCATTCACCCACTGAAGTGATTTTGAGTTGCTTCCAGTTTATGGTAATTATAAATAATACTGATATGAACATTCTTGTATAGGTTTCTGTGTGAACATAAGTTTTTATTTTTCTAAGGTAAATATCTAGAAGTGGGATTACTGGGTCATATGGTAAGTGTACATTTAACTTTATATGAAACTGCCGTGTTTCAGAGTGGCTGTATCATTTTGCACCTCCATGAACAATGTATAAAAGTTCCAGTTGCTCTACATCTTTGTCAGCACTTGGTATTCAGTATTTATTTTGGTTGTTCTGATAGGTGTGAAGTGATACCTCATTGTTTTAAGTTGCATTCCATTAATGGCTAATGATGGTGAACATCTTTTCATGTGCTTATTTGCCATCCTTACATCCGGTTTGGTAAAGTGTCTGTTGAGATCTTCCATTTTATCATTGAGTTATTTTCTTCCTGATGATTTTTGTGTGTTCTTTATTCTAAAGTCAGTCTTCCATTGGATATGTGATTTACAAATATTGTCTCCCAGTCTATAGTGTGTGTTTTCTTTCACTTAAGAGTGTCTTTTATAGAGCTAACTTTTGTTTTTATTATGGTAAAATATATATAATATAAAGATAACCATTTTTAAGTATATAGTTCTGTGGCATTAAGTATACTCATGTTCTGCAACTATCACCACTATCCATCCCCAGAACTTTTTAGTCCTATACCCGTTAAACATTACCTTTCCCTCTCCTCCAACTTCTGACATTCTACTTTCTGTCTTGAATTTGGCTACTCTGTGTATCTCATATAAGTACAATCATTCAATATTTGTTCTTTTGTGCCTGGTTTATTTTACTAAGCATGATATCTTCAAGGTCTATTCCTATTGTAGTATGTGTCAGAATTTCTTCCCTTTTTAAGACTGAATAATATTCCATTGTACATATGTACCACTTTCTTAATCCATTCACTTATCAGTGGACACTTAGTTTATTTCCGTGTTTTAGCTATTGTGAATAATGCTGCTATGAACATGGGTATACAAATAAGTTTGAATATCTGCTTTCAATTCTTTTTTGTATATACCTAGAAGTGAAATTGTGAGATCATATGGTAACTGTACATTTAATTTTTGAGGAACCACTGTATTATTTTCCATAGAGACTATGCTATTTTATATTCCAACCAGCAATGCACAAGGGTTCCAATTTCTCTGCATCCTTAGCTGCATTTGTTATTTTTCTGGGATTGTTTCTTTATTTGATAATAGCCACTTTAATGTGCATGAAGTGGTATCTCATTGTGGTTTTGGTTTGTATTTTCCTAATGCTTAGTGCTGTGAGCATCTTTTCATGTACTTTTAGACATTTTTGTATCTTCTTGGAGCAATGTCTATTCAAGTCTCTTGTTTTTAAAATGAATTGTTTATTTTTGTTGAGTAATGGGAGTTCTGTGTATATTCTAGGTATTAATCCCTTATCAGATAAGTGATTTGTAAATATTTTCTCTCCTGTTCCATGGGTTGGCTTTTTACTATGTTATAGTATCCTTTGGTGCACAAAGTTTCTAATTTTGATGAAGTCTAGTTTGTCTATTTTTTCTTTTGCTGTCCTATCCAAAAAAATCATTGCCAAATCTAACATTCTGAAGCTTTTCCCCCATGTTACCTTCTAAGCTTTTATAGTTTTTGTTCTTTCCTTTAGGTCTTTGATTCATTTTGACTTAATTTTTATATATGGTGTAAGATACGGTTCCAAGTTCATGTTTTGCTAGTGATATCCAGTTTTCCCAGTAACATTTGTTGAAAAGACTGTCCTTTTTATCCTGGATGATCATGGTGCCTTTTTAAAAATTCATTTGATCTTATGAGTGTGAGTTTATTTTTACACTCTCTGTTCTATGCCATTGCTGTATATCTCTCTTTATGCCAGTACCACACTGTTTTAAAAAGGCAAAAGATTTATTCACTCTGAAGAGAAACCAGAGTATATACCACACTGTTTTAATTGCTGTAGCTTTGTAGTATTTTTTTAAATCATGAAATGTGAGACCTCCAACTTTGCTTTTATTTTTCAACATTGTTTTGTCTATTTGGGGGTCTCTTGAGATTTTGTATGAATTTTAGGGTAGATTTTTCTATTTCTTCAAAAAATGTTATTGAGATTTTGGTAGGGAATGCATTGAATCTATAATACTTTGGTTAGTATAGACATCTTAACAGTATTTTCTTCAAATCCATGAACATGGGCTGTCTCTATTATTTGTGTCTTTTATTTCTTTTAGTAAAATTTTATATGTCTTCCACCTTAGAGCAAATGCTTTGAACTCTTATAAAACCCAGCTTATCAATTTATTTCATGGGTTCTGCTGTGTGATGTATGTGTGTATTAAGAATTCTGCCTAATATTTGTTCACAAAAATCTAGTCCTGTGCTTTCTTCTAACAGTTTTACAGCTATACATTTTACATTTAGGTTTATTTCCCATTTTGACTTCATATTTTTATAAGATATTAGAGCTAAATTAAGATTCATTTTCTTTTTTTTATTTTATTTTATTTTTTTCTTTGATTCATTGTTTAAAACTTGGCATATGGCTATAATTACAACTGACAAGTTGGAAAACATGGTCTATACTTAGTTTTGTAAGTTTTATTTTATTTTTATGTAAATTTCTAATAAGATTCATTTTCTTGTCTATTAAAGAGTATACAGCTGTTAAAGAGTCTGCTTCCTCCATTTTTTGTCAGCAGTTAATTAGACATGTTTGTATTACTATTTATCATCATTATTATTGGTAAAAGATTGAATGTTTTCCAAGAGCATAAGTAAGTCAAGGATGACACTGTTGCTACTTCTATTCACAGTGAAATAAAATTAGAAATCAATATTCGAAAGATATAGGACATTTATAAATATGTGGAAATTTAACAATTATACTAAATAACTGATAGATCAAAAAGAAGTCACAGTGGCTTTGGAAAATATTTTGGGATGAATGAAATCAAAATACAACACACCAAAACTTAGGGGCTACAGTAAAAGTAGTGTTTGGAGGCATATGTAAATGCCTCTATTAAAAAAGAAAAGGATCTCACATTAATAACTGAAACTTCACTGTAAGAAACTACAAAAAGAAAAGCAAACTAAACTTAAATCAAACTGAAGAAATTAATAATGATTAGAATAAAAATAAATGAACAGAGAAAAGTAGAGAAAACTGATACAATCAAAAATTGTTTTTTTTAAATCAACAGAATTCACAATTCTTTAGCTAGACTAATCAATTTAAAAGAGAGAAAACTTAAATTTCTAAAACCCAGCCCTAGTCAGGTTTGGTGGTGAATGGCTATAATTCAAGCACTTGGGAGGCTAGGGCAGGAAGATTGCAAATTCAAGTCCAGCTTAGTTATATGGTGAGGCCCTTACTAAAAAACAAACAAACATAGCACCCTAAAATAAAAACTCAGCTCTACTTTGTACTTTGTTCCTATTTGCATGGGATATCTTTTTCTGTCCTTTTATTTTCAACCTGTTTGAGTTTTTTTAATCTAAAGTTTATCTTACAGTTAGCAAATACATGGATTATGTTTCCTTTTTTTGAATCAGTTCATTCAATATTCTCCTTTTCTGAGTGTAATGTTTAGTTCATTTATTTTAATATATTTAATTGGAATATTTTGATAAGATTAGGATTTATATCTGTCATTTTACTATTTGTTTTTTGTATGTCTTATATAGGTTTTTTTCTATTCCACTTATTCCTTTTATGTAAGTTGATTTTTCTGTTATGCTATTTTAATTAACTTTTTGCATGTGCACACATGAACTTTGAGTCTGGTCAAATAGAGTATTGCTTGTGGAATTTCACCCGAGACCACCAGACAGGTTATGTAGTGAGTATTCCCTGGGAATGGTACTTCGAAGAGGTTCCAACCCCATTCTTTCCCCTCTAGTGGCTGCCCTGCTCTTGATTTTTTTCTTTGATTACATATCATTGGTTTTTAAGGTTGTCATAGACCTGGGAAAAATGGATGGGAGTAGGGCAAGTTATAACAGACAAACTCATTTTTCTTCCTGTGATTCAGCTATTTTTCATAAAGAGGTACCCCACAGATTGCTTCAAGCTTTTCATTCTTTTCCAGAGTTATGAAAGTTGGTTCTGAAGGTTTTTCTGCTAGTTTTCTCATTGTTTTTTCGAGGAATAGACTTTTCAGAGATCTCTACTTCACTATTTTCACTGATATTGTATCT